CCCATGATTTCACAGAATCTTGAGACTATTCACGTACAGTCAATTACGATATTTCATAATAATTTGGTAGTTTTTTGGTTGATGTTTGCAAATTGTATATTGCCTTAGTCTGCTCATAAGGAAGGGGTTCATGATACTTTTTTTCTTGCGCATCAATGGTCAAAACTTAATTGCATGATTGAAAACATCTTGAGGAGATCCATGTTCAAGGGCGGCAGTTCGTGCGATACTTGCAAACCAACCAACCAACCAACCAACCAACCTACAAACCGAGCAAACAAACACAAAGTTCGATAATGGCAATACGAATTCCCTTTTCACAAATTGTTTTTGCCTAATTGGAACATCTCAATAAAAAGCATTTACGTAAGCAATGCCATTTTATTTCATCTGGTTAAACGAATTTCCCTCTTCCAATCTTGTTTCCTCGCGAGACACGCTTAAACAGAATCTATGAATTTAACCCTGTGCATTAGGCCTATGTTATCGATTAAATACGATGGCGCTGCGCATGGTGAAAATATAATATGTGAATAAAATTTCGTAATTCATCACGTTTGTCTTTTATCAAGGGGTATGTTTGCTTTTGGTGATTGCCTACAATCGTTTTTTCCAGGTAATTCTACCGATACAATTCTTAGTGAATTAGGAACATTAATCAATCCTCCACGCATGACTGCTAGCATTCATACGTGTGCTGCATGGTGTTTCTTGTTTTATTTTACGTCGGATAATTCAACCATTATTGGATAGTGTAAAAAAAATGAAATAACTGTTCAAAATTCGTTATAATTGTTGGTCATTAATTAAATTATAACCAGCATTGAATACGATACAGCCAATTTAATGTGCACTGTCATCGCGACCTATACTTTAATTAACCTTTGAATAAAACATCTATTCGAGGATTACTCTGCAAATATACGACCTTTTTATTGTCTGGCAAATATACCGAGAAAATCTGTGCTATACGGAACAGTAAGACGCTGCTAATGGTATACTCTCTGCCTGCATTTAAGACGGAGAAGCACGTCAAACACACGCAACCATTTATCATTTTTTTTCACCGACCAGCTACATCTTCTAATCCCATCATACACGACTATGCTCCAGAGACCAGGCTCTGCCGACCTCTAATTTGTCTCCCACACGCCGGGACTCTCCCGAGTGATTTGGCCATTCATTTCGAGTTATCAAGAAAGAAAAAAACACACAACTGTGTAATAGGACAACCAAGGGCTACTGTGATAGAAATGCGAAGCTAGGAGGAACACACACATTGATCATTATTGAAAGATGGAGTAATCACTGCGATTGCATTCTGTGCAGACGCTCTTCCTTACCAATTTCTTGGGCTCATTCGTCATGAGGGAGCACAACCTGATACGGACAAACACACTATTCTTTTAGAAAAATGCAAGAACACACGTTCGACAATACTTTACTCCAAGCAACGGTATTACATTCTCGGATTCGCCATGAAGAGTCCGAAATGACGAGATTTAAGTTGTGAAAAATATCAAGGTAATTCTGAACCTAATTCTTTTATTGGGTTAATTGTGAAAAAAACATATTCCGCTCTTGTTTCGGTATTTTTAAAATGAAATTTTGGCCTTCGCCGTTTTTATGTCAGAAAACAATACAGGAGCTGATATTTCGGAGGAATTTCAGAGCGCATTGACTGCAATGCCCACGTTAAAGGGGTAAAATAGACGGGGAAATGATATGTGCACAGGATAGGCAAGACCATGAAGCTATTTTGAAATACTGGACATGGTCAGATATATTGACTGTCTTTTGATTGCTCCAATGGGCATATATGACTGCATGCGGATACTTCGATATTAATCTCATCTTTCCTCATACACAGCTAGGTATACGTTTCCTCATGTTGACTTCAATTCCAACAATTGCCATTCGCAAAGGAAAATTGAGACCATAATTAGGCAAGTCCTGAAGGAATTGATTAAATTTGACACATGTAATTGACAAATTTGCTAATTTAATTGACGTTAGGTAACAAGACTCTCTGAATGTTAGTAATTTGATAGTCAATTTCCCCTGAAAAGGGTCATTATGGTGACAAAGGTTACTTTCATTGAAACTGCAGAGAAGGAAGAGGATGCTTATACAACTATGTAACTGACAAATGGTTTACGGAAAATAGTAAAATATTCAATGCAACCCTTTCTTGATCAACTGATAACAAAGTGCATGGGAAAACTATTTGTGTAGAGAAATTTCATACACATCAAAAAGGTCAGAGCTAGGGTCTGGGAGGCCACTTGCGAGCACCCAATCCACAGGCTTTAATCAAGATGCATCGTAAATGTTACCAACGACCTGGACGCGTGTGGAACATTAATCAAAAATGTGAAGGAATCCAAAGACTCGGAGAGCGGTCGAGGTGTTCGGCGGGAAGAGGGAGGAACGGTGGTGTCTTGAGATTACTCCATGTATGCCAGAGGGAGAAGGGATGCTTGAAGTAAAGTAATCACATCACACTCTATGTAGATATCCACAGAATCCACAATATTTAATTGGGGAATTCCTCCCTATACCTTGTGCGGTGAGTGAATCCTTCATCCTACTACCAATGATAAATCCCCATGCCATGCTATGGAATTCACAGGATACGTGTAGCCATGAAATCAAAATGAACAGCGCACCTCCGTTGCTGCGAGAGAGGATAATGCGGACGTTGCATTGCAACATCGCAGGCTGGTTTAACATATTTCAATCTCAAACTCTGCACATTAAATTGGGACAGTAAATGAAAATAGCTAGAAATGAAAATTGGGGCAAAATATCTTAATATCTTATTTGCAGCGCTTTTCTACAGTAACGGGTCATACAGCCATCACCATGCATGGCAAGACTAATAAAAGGGGTGCAGCACAGAACATGCGGAATTCCCGCTTCACATGTGAGTATGGGTTGGTCCCTACACTTACAACTGTAAGATGGAAAGTTTGTTTCATTATTACAAGCTTCTTTATTACTCAAGTTCTTTTTGAGAGATGATTGTTTTTCTTTCAGCTTTATCTAAAGAACCTGTCTTAATCGCTTCTGTTTAATGACGCTACATTTGCAAGTCTCTCTGGAACCAAACGCAAAGATCACTGAGCGAAACAAATCGTTAAAAGAGTTCCGTTTGCAATTATCTCATAAGTAACGTATACAATTCAATAGGATTGCTAAGGGGGGGGGGGGATAGATCGAAATTAATCGGTCTTGTGTCAACAAAATTGGCGAAGAATCTTACATTAATCAAATGTGTATACCAATTTAATTGTTTGCTATGATATGACACGCGAGGGCGCAACTTACACGTACAACAAAACAGTCAAAACTGTTTACATTATCAAATTTTACCAACTGGAAACCTGAGAGAAAAGACTCACATTAATGACAAAATTAGGTCTGGTTTAGCTTTGAAGTTGAGAAATATAACTGTTGTGACATGTTGAACGTCACTGCACTTATAATCCCTGTGTTTTAGCTCTGTGTGGCTTTTACGGAATGATTACATGGGACTTATAATTGAATGTAGTACTGCAGCAATAAAACACGGCTGTTTACAAGGGTGCAATAACTCAAGTCTTATTTTTAGAACTCCAATATGATTTAAAGCATTTCATCTAGAGCGAGCTTCCATCTCGACAGATTGGAAAGATAGACTGATTCCTCGCCAATTCCTCTGGCCAATTATCGGTAAGTATCTTGGGACAGGATGGTATGATTGATAGGCAAAGCAGCAGAGATTGCCAAATACCTTGCTATCGTCTTATAACTACAAATATGCCAACAAGAAAATAATCAAACCCATATATTTCCATATGGAAAACTTTTTGAAAAAAAGAAAACACAATAGTTCCGCTGACGCCCTCATGCGTCCAAACATAATGAACGCTAAATTTTCCCAAACTTAAAATTATATGCTCGTTGGATTCTTGGACGAAACAAATGGGTAAAGACGGCAAATGATGAATGAATGCGCCACATTATATGGGAAGTATGCGTCTAAATGGAAGCCATGTCATAGAAAATACGGGTTTAGAACTTTAAAAAATTGATGGATTAATTGAGGTCTGAAAATTATCAAACCAGAAAATTAACAACTCCCCCACAAAAAACCTTACAAATACTCGTTCTCCTTTGGATAAACAGGTACTTTGAAACTACAGTGATATTTTTTGAAATCGTAACCTCGTGGCTGCAAAAACAGATCTGCCACCACAAAATGATCCCTGCACTTTGAAAGTCCGCAAAAGAAAATCAAGAGTGCTGCGAATGACTTATCAAACAAGGGAGTTAACGAGACACGAGTGAGAGCACTTGACCGATATACGTGTATACCACTTCACAAAAAAACCCATGAATTATTTTACCTGTACCAGATATTTTGGGCACTGCATTCAAGTAAATTTTTTAATCAAACTTTGCTTTGTTCAACTATATAGCCTAAAAACTCATGATATAATAAGAACACGAGCCGAGAATTTGTTGCTTTTCCACATAAAAGTTCTTTGATTGTGCGGTTCTAAATAGGCCTATAGGATTGATTGGGGTCTTTATTTTGACAATTCCTACAGATAAGGATTTACTGTGAATTATTTCATAATTTTTTTTTCCAAAGCAATTAGTATATCAATGTCGCATTATATACGCCAAGGTTTAAACATGCACAAAGCGAGTGGGCTTTAAGGCCATGACAAGGTCACGATATGTTAGCGATGAATGGTCACTGTACTTTATCATATATCTCTGTGTACTCATAATGCCCTTCCGTATTCAATGTTACTAAATATGACGGTCAATTTATTACAAAGACGGGCTTGCAATTTGGGAGAGAAGATACGTTGTACGCTGATATTTTATATACATACATGTATTGTGATATTGATCGATGCAACAGATTAAAAAGCTTACCTCAAACTTATACAAAACAGATAAAATACAAAACAGAAAGAAATAAATCAAGCAAAAACCAAACAGTATATCAGTGTATTTTGTGAGTTTCTTTATTCTTCTCTTAACAAGAAGCAATCATAAACTACTTTTTATCGCAAGCATATGTTTTTCAGACATAAAACACACACAGTCTCTAACAGTGTTATCTGAGTAGCTCACCATATGCTTTATAAAGCATGAAGATCAGGTTAAACAGCCAAAAATTCAAGATTACATCACTAGTGTGAAAACAAGATGTTATTTGGGATTTTTGCAACTTGATCGTAGATTTGAATTTGGAATCTTGAGGATGTGAGTTTGACGATTTTGGATATCCAGAAAAAATGGACTATCTTTGGTTGAAATTCTCATTCTGCTAGTAACCCTTTCCATTTTGAATGTAATTTGTAATTCAAATTCCTAGCGTGAGTTAGTGGTCCATCTGCATGTATGGAAGGATCAATGCCATAGCTCAAGACTCGGGAGAATAGACTTATCATCAGCAGGTGGTGAGGTAGGACAAAGACGAGGGATGATTACTCCTTTAATCCTGATAATGCTCCAGAGATTTCTCGTAGCTATATGTATCTTGCTGATAGCAACATGTACATGCATACACCTGCACTCAGAATGAATACAGGGATACCAATATAAAGAACCCTTTTTTCAAAGGCGAAAAAAAAAGGAGTCAAATCAATTCCTTCGTTTCATGATTTCGAGAGAATTTACTTCAATGTGCTCTAGTTTCTCATAGCAAGTTGTACATCAAGGTTAAATGTACATCTCTCCAAGGAAATGCGGCAAGTTTGACCAACTCTCAAAATGACAAGATTTATTACATAATCTTTGATTTCAAACATTTGCAAGGTAAATTATACAAATTTTGAAACTCTGGATGATGACATCTCAAATCCTCCAAGTTACACCAAAACACAAATTCATTTCTAAGGGTTTGCTAGCACAAAGTTCCACAATCCTAAATAACTAAATGGCTGTTTAAACTATTTCTGCGTGTTTCCACTTAATGTGAATTGTGATCTGTTTGGGCCATTAAGGTTCTAATTTCAAAACATGTTTTTTTCTCCCCGAAATCATGTGACTCTAAACAAGTTCCATTAAACATGGCAGGAATAAACAACAGTTGGTCTTGTTCCCCATCTCCTAAATTCAACAGTATGAACTGGCACATAAGTACATTCACAAGGCATGAATATCCATAAGCAAGGTAAATTACTCTGATTCAGTGCACTGTTGCATACATAAGTCATGAGTTCAGTTGTGAGCTTAGGATAACGTACATGTTGTGCCATCCTATCCCAGGTATGCAGCCAACAGAGTAAACATTTCCAAGGTAACAGGGCATCATCTCCAGTTGATTTCCATAGCAACAATAACTTCATCATCATCAGATTTAACATGAGCAAATGATAGTTTGCAGAATTCCAAGAAACTGCAGCCAACTGTGAACAGATGTAGATTCCTTAGTTGCAATGACATTATGTTAGTCAGGTCAAAGGTCAATAAAGAAGGGCAAGATTCGATTGGTCACTATCGGAATCCATCTCATATGTCTGCTCTTCAATATCCTCCTCTGAATCAACCTCTTCTATTCCCATCTCACTTGCCGATCGTTTGGAGGAACTCTGTTTACCAAGAGTCAAGATATACTGTAAGCTGAAGCGATTGCTGTCACACCTAATACGGAATAAGAGAAGAACTGAATTGATTGGATTGATCTGACTGATCGATTGATTGATTAGCCAGCTGATCAACTGATTAGTTGATGACTGTGTGGAAGCAGCACTGATTAAATTAAGCAGTGACTGATTAGATGATATTTAGATGATGGATTGAAATATTAAAAGTGCAAGTTATTACTTGGCAGTTATGGCATAGAACCTGTAAGAAAACCAGGTACTGACTGTACACTGTTAGTTTGCAAGTGGCTTTGGTAACAAAAAAAAGGAGAAAATGCTTAATTAAGTGGATGGTAGGGGGAAATCCTTTGAAGTTGGTGGAAAAATGGTCAGGGTGTTAGAAGGATTCATGAGACAGTGATGACAGGAAATAAAGTGATTTGAGAGGTTAGCAAGAAAGATGAGTATAAAAGTGAACAATTTATGAAATCTTACATCAGGATGGATCAAGAATCTTTGTAGTAAAAAGTCAAAGTGAATTGGAGATGAATCAAATTGGTATCTCATCTTGAAAGCCATGTCAGAAAAGCAGCAAAATTGCACTAAATTAGATGGTTTAGGAGAAATGCATTGTACTTGGGCCTTTAATTCCAATTATACCCAGAGATCAGTTCTTGTCTCAGGCTGCACATGTCAAGTAAGTGCAAAAATTGCCGTTCACAAAGTCCCCGCACACCATTACAGAAATGTCACTTTATGACTCCATACTTTATAGGATTAGGATTATACATGATTCATGTCTATGGATGGTGATACAATAGTGCATACATGTAGTTGTATTGATTAGATCATGCATTTATTATCTGTTCTCAAGTTATAAGAGTGAATAATGAAAACTTCCCCTCAGTTACTTTTGTAAACATTTAAATCTTCCGGTGTATCTAAGGATCATCACGGTGTACCGGTATCTAAGGATTGATATTTTCCCACTTTGACTTTATAATTTGGCTTTATCTTGAATTTCATCCCTGAAGTTCATATTTCTTATGAATGTTAACATAAAGCAATGCCATGACATCAGCAGTACATGTGTAATTACAAAATTGATCTTGTATGAACCAGTCTTAAGGTAGGTTGAGAATCAGGAAAACATTATCAGGAAAACAGATAGCAAAAATAAATGAAAGTGATGAATATAGATTTGAGCAGGTTAGAAAGAAGCTGGTAAGCTGACAAAAACTGATGGGTTATAAATGATAGAAACTTTGACAAAGACACAAATATGAATTAATTAAAAGTAGGACCCAATAGTTCTGACTTCCACAAAGTTCTTGAGTTTTCTGACAACACAGAACATTTGTAAAATGGGTCACAAATTAAAATTAGACAAAACATACAATAGACACCATAAAAAGGAAGGAAAGATCTCTCAATATAAATGAACTCAAATGAAGTGAAATCAGCCAACTAATCATAATGCAACAAAATATCACAAAATAAAATCAAACATATCAAACATGTATGCAAAAAATATCTATGGTATTCAATCAATAATAAATATCACAAACAAAATATCACATATAAATGTACACAGATCAATCTAAAATAAACCAAAATAATCAAATAAACCAAACATATATTTCTTTTCTAAAAACACATGATGACAACAACAGAAAGTAGCTCAGAGTAAAGGATGCAATTATTTGAAGGGACAGGAACTGGAGTTAAAAAGCAGGTGTCCTGGCACTCACACTCGCAGAAAAAAATCTTTCAGATAAATCATCAAAACTGCATCAGTTTGTTTATATCATTGAGACATTTGATTTAACCTAAATTCCCTAGATTGTGAGACTACATTTACTTGATTTGTGACACAGTCCTCCATGGCAGACCAAACTAGCCAAAATTAAGCAAAATTGTGTGAGACATGTTTAATTTAGTACAGAGTTCCATCTGAACTTTTTGTGAGTGCTGTTTATGACTATTCTGTGTCCTAACTGCAATGCTGATTTTCATTTCCTCATGTTCCTGAGATTGATTTCATGGTTTTTCTGGTTGCTCAATTCATAGCATGCATGAGCCACTTTGGCTAATTGATAGCACGTCTGGTATGTACAGCCAACGCTCCATTTCAACCTTAATCTCTGGCTGCAAGCACTAATGAAATTTCAGCAGATTCCTGCGTTACATATGACTGACTTCATATCACAGACACGCGCCCAATGGTGTTATACTGATGAACAAAGGAACTCTGAATGTGGGAAAAGCGGTGACTACAGGCAATGGGCAAGCACTGGGGGTAATTGAGAGTAATCAACGTAGACAAATTGATTGAGATAATCAAGTTAGTCTTGACAAACAGGCCAGACATGAACAAGTGTAGGTGACACTAAGGACTCTAATGCAAAAACGGTCACACTTTCTATTTGAGGTGAAATACCATCTCTTTTTGATACACTTCTTCTTAAACTAGAGAATTCTTCTTGCCAACAGCTGGGATTGTTCTTTGGGCTGTGCTCTTCTAGACTCTCTTTTCTCTCTCTGAGAACATTATTTTTTCCCCCAAAGAAATTATTCCTGATCTATTGTGACAATTATCAACAAAAGTACTTTAATTTGAATGAAACTGTAAAATTTCCATTATTAATAACACAGGGAATCATTAAATGTCTAATTTAAAATTCTCCATCACCCTACCAAAAGAAAATTAACGACTGGTCTTGAGCCCTCCATCCAATGCAAAAGAAATTGCACTGCAAAAACATGAGAAAGTGAACACCAGGGAAACAACAATCATCTGAAATACACATAAAAGACCAATTGATATCAATCCAGAAAGGTGTATCTTGAAAGAGTATTTGACTGCTTTAAGAAGGTCAGAGGGATGTTTAATGAGGATATGATCACTGATGACAACATATCTTACAATCTCAAATTACTCCAGCCAACTGTTTCAGTACAGCAAAGTCTATTACCACCTCAAATTCCAAGAATACACAAGAGCAGACCGTTATTTTTTTATTTAAAATTTTGATTGCTTAGACATTCTGAATGTATCATTGCAATATTTTTCATTTACACGCTGCCAATTCCAACTAGACCAAGTCATCTCAGAATGTAATCAAGCAAAGCACAGATACGTGATCTTACTAGCGACCTTAAATTCCTAGAATATGAGTTTTCTATTTTGGGAAGCATTTTTAATTTAGACAGCAGAGGGCAGGGTTAAGTTGGAATGGCTGTAGCTGTGCTCAAGGTTTGTGATTATTACATACTTACATGTATGTACAAAGGTTGGAATGCCATAAAAGGCTTTCCTAAGTACATGTACATATTGCCAACAGTTACATGTGTGGGACAATGCTGCATATGAACATGTATACCATCCTCTTTGGCAACAAAATGGCAGTGGCAGGAAATACACAGTTTCTGGAGACTAAATCATCAAATGAAGTACAGTAGTTAATTAGTGAATGTATGCATTAAGCTATATAATTAAACAAGATGTCTGTCATTGAACAAGAGAGGGCAGTTGAGTAGTTCACACATTTTTACAACAGCAGAAAAAAAAATCATGTAAAACTGACATGTTCCCAAAATGTTTAAAATGCTCGTTATCAAAAATAAGAAATTTAAATAAAACAATCTCTTTTTTTAAAACTCCTGATTAGATAACTTCTTGGAAAAGCTCACTGATGATATCTGAAAGTGGACATTGAGTTTTTACAAATGTACATGTACCGGTACATGTAGACCTAACATCTGCTTAAACAAAAATGTTATCTCCAATAAGAAGTTCTCTTCAAGTTGACACTCAGGAATGGTCAACTGATACTCACAACGACCGTTTCTCTTCAGGTTTGAAGTGAAACTTAGCACGCCTGGTGCTTGTTAAAGAGAAACTTTGCATTTCAATATCCCACAGGCCTTGTCTGTCGGGAATTGAAATCAAATTACTGGGACCTTTGAAGTGCACAAGTATCAAAAGAGACAATCACAGCACCGCAGTGACGTGAATTTTGGGGAGTATGAAGTGATGTGTGTGTGTGTGTGTGAAGGAGGAAATGCTTGGATATGAAATGAGAGGTTCCAAAGCAACTGTCTCTGGTGACCAATAACTGGAGGATGGTATGTATGTTGTCTGGACTCAAGAGGAAGATAAGTGATTAGTGCTGGGAAATTGGGGATTTGAAGAATGGAAGAATGGCAGCAGGGAAAAAACAAGAACTTCTGATCAGACTCCAATTTGAATCACAATAGGCATAACTCTGCCTTTTAAGTTACAATTAAATTCAACTGCGTATCTAAAATGTGCGGTGCTGAACGACTTTAGGAGGACAGGCAGATATAAGGATAGATAGTGTAGCTGGGAAATCCAAGAGGACAAGATGTCTTGCAGAGGGTAATGACCACATTGACAGACTGTAAACATAACTGACAAGTTGAACCATGTAGACAATGGACTCAAGCCACTGGGTTTAATCAAAACTCACACCCAACTGAGAGGTTAAGTAGACACTGTAGTGCAAAAACAGTTACAAAGCCTCCTCTATGTGTGTACGTCTTTGATTTCCTCGCTTTTATGTGACATTTAAGAAGCTGTTGAGTGTCTCAGAATGTTATCAGTGTCTACAGGACGTGTATGAATAAAACTCATATCCCTTGATAGAGGGAAACATTTATCCAAACTCTTATCTTAAGTGCTTGATATTATTCTAACAGTAACAGGAAAGTTAGGCATGGCAAAGGTAATTGTGTGTATGATTAGACACATCTCAGATTCTACTGAAATGTTGTCTGAAATAATATTCCACGAGTGACTGTATCAAGTTTCTAAAACAATTCCACAAGGCAATCAAAGCCTCAGTATTGCCTTTTAAACCTGAGGAAATTACAAGCTGGGCTCAAAAATTAGCTGTATTTTTTTATGGCAGTAGAATATGTTTACATACAACACGTTAAAACAAATGCAATCTGTTCATTTTTGAAATTATTTATATTGTCATTTTGAATGGAAACTTTAATAATCAATCAAGGCTTAGTGATTTTTGTGTGAGA